CAGATAGGGAAGCAGCAGGCTGCCCCAGGACACGGGGCAGGTCAAGGTCAGAGTCCATCCTTCCCTGGAGGAAGGTGGGATGGGGATTGTGATAGCAGCTCAGGAGGGTGTCCATGGTCAGGGCCCCACGTGGATGGAAAGGGATGGGACCTGACTGCAGGGGGAGGGGGAGGCCCGGCCAGTACAACCACTGACGTTTATGGAGGGCTTGGTACAAGGCTTGGCATTTGTTCTGTTACGCTTATATTCTCTTACCTTATTTCCCCCATTTCACAGATGGAAAAACTGAGACTTAGCACCCAAGTACTCCTTCCAAGTTTACAGCACACACAGAGTCACAACTCTGATTTAAATACCGACTGTCTGTCTCTCAACCATTAATTCAACACAATCGTGTTGTGTGCCTAGCTCTGCTCTAAGTGCAGGGATTAGAGTGTACCAGACATACAGAAACCCCTGCCTCCGCTGAAATTTTTGTAGAGGCAAGACAGACCAATAAAGAGGATGCACACTGTGCCCGGCGGTGCCACGGGGTGTAGCAGGCATGGCTGCACGAATCCCTCCCACGTGCACACCCTTTTCCAATCATGCCTCTGATGCTCTCCCCGGCAAGAGGTGGGGTCTAGTCCCCTCCTCTTAATTCATGGCCCTGGGACATGCTCTGACCAACAGGATGCAGCTGAAGCAACACTGTGGGACCTGTGGGCTTAGCCTGATGAGGGCCTGCAGCTTCCATTCTGCCCTCTTGGAAGACAGCTGCCACAGAAAGAAGTCTGGGCTGGACTGTGGGTGATGAGAGTCATGTGAACAGAGAACCAAGATGCCCGCGGGATGCGAGCTTCCCACCGATGTCTTAGAGCAGCAGTGACAGATCATTCCTCATGATTCTGTGAGCTGAGTGCTCCACGTGGCATCAGCTAGAGTCCCCCATGCGATGGCTAACAGAATCGTAAGCAATGATCCATCACTGCTGCTTTGGGGCAATTTGATACACAGCCATGGGTAACTGAGACAATGGGAGAAGGGCACAGTGCCACAGAGAGAACCAAAGTCAGGGAGGGGAGAAGGAATGCCCAAGGCAGAGGGAGGCTGGGGTGGGGGTTCTGAGGGGGCTGCAATTCTAGGGGAAGGGGACATCTGAATGATGACCTCGCTGGGGTAAGGTGAGCCCACTTGGGATCTGGGTGAAGTGTCTTGCAGAGGGAGCAATGAGGCAGTATCAGGCTCTTGCAAGTAAGAACAAGAAGCTGTGTGGCTGGTGTGGAGTGGGCGGGGGGGGGGGCGGCAGGACGGGATACCCATCGGCCACTGAAAGGACTTTGACTTTTACCCAGAACTTTGAACAGAGGGAGGATGTGATCCCACTCAGCTTTCACAAGACCTCCCACTGCCGCCCCGCTGTTGTCTGGAGAGCAGATGGAGGGGCAAGGGCAGAAGCCAGGAGACCCCTCTGAGCCTGGCGGAGTAGATGGTGACTGGACCAGGGTGAAGTGTGTGAGTAGAACAGACCAGACTTGTTAGCGGGCCAGATCTGGCTGCCCGAGAGAAAGAGGAGGGATTTGCTCCAGCCACAGGAAGGCTGCGATTGCCATGCCTTGAGATGGGGCAGCCTGCGGGGAGCCCAGGAGTGGGGCTGCAAACAGGTCCCCTGAGATGCCATAGAAACCAAGGTGAGAATCCAGCCTGACAGCCGCGGCCAGCACCCTGGGAGGGGCACGGTCTACAGCTACAAGTAGGGGACTGCCAGTGGCGAGCAGATCACCCAGGAGAGCGCACAGATGCAGAAGACATGCAAGCACTGAGCCTGGGGCTCCCCCACATGAGAGGCTGGAGACTGTCCCCTGGGCAGAGGGGAGACTGGGCAGGACGGGGTCCAAGTGGGAAGGCTTTCAAAGAGGAAGACTTGAGCCATTATATCAGATGCCTGACAGGTCACTTAAGATGAGGACCGAGGGGCAACTGGGTCGCTGGGGTTGACCGAGTTCTGGCGGTGGCTGCAGGTTGGTCCTCTCTTCGTCTCCTCCAGATGCCCTTCAACATCCATCTTCTTCAAGGTGATGCAGGGCTTCTGTTGCCAGTTATTTAAGTCACTTACCTGACCTCAGCCCCAGTCTCCTCATTTGTAAGCAGGAGTGCTAAGCCGCGCTCCACAGGGCTGATGCGCAAACTCAGTGAGAACTGACATTTAAGAAACACACCGGTCGATCACAGCACCTAAGCCTTAGCCGGACCCTGATTCAAACAAATAAATGTAAAAAGCGAAAATGTATGGTGCAACTGGAGAAGTGGGCACCCTGATGGATGTTAATATTGAATATTAAAAGAATCGTGGCTGAGAGTTATAATAGGTTCTGTTAGAGCAAGAGCGAGAGGCAGGCAGAGGGAGTCCTTTCTTTTGAAAAATACACAGTGAACTGTTTCCTGGTAAAATCATATGATGTCTGGGATTTGCTTCAAAAATATGTTGAGGTGGAGGAAAGAGTGAGACACAGATAAAACAAGATGGGCCTGGAGTTGATAGCTTCAGTGCCGGAGACATTCAGTGTATCACCTCTCCACGCCTGCATATGTTGGAGATTTCAATAATAAAATGTTTTTTAAGCATGTGTGCGTGTACACACAATGAGAACAGTGCTATCTGCCAAGAGCAGTTCTAAGCACTTTACACGTGTCAGCTCATTGATGCCCGGGACATTCCTGTCAGTGGAGGACACCCTTCTTCCCATCTTGCTGCAGAGGAGAGAAGAGGCACAGAGAGGTCGAGTGACTTGCCCGAGGTTGCACAGCTGGTGAACAGCGGTGTTGGGATGCTTTCATGGAAAAACACCCCTGCATTTTCCTTTCCTATCACACTATACTTCTGATACCCAATGTGTGGGTTTCCACACCCAGCTGGGTGATCTAAGTTCAACTCAACTCTGACACGGACTGGAGTTAGCACGGGGTTCAGTTCCCTCCCTCCCCAGCCCCACTTCAGATGCCAACCTCAAGTCTGAGTTTCTGCCTGTGCTTCTGACACATCAGCTGTAAGTTGAGGTTCCCATTAACCCCCCCACCCACCCAATTTGATAATTTGTTAGAACATTTCATAGGACTCAGGACAACAGTTTCCCTAATAGATTACCAGCTTGTTACAAAGGATATTGAGGATATAAATGAACAGCTAGATGAAGAGACACCCAGGGTGCGGTCCAGAGGAGTCCTGAGCACAGGAGATTCTGGCCCCGGGGAGCTGGGGTGAGCCCCCCTCACGTGGATGTGTGCACCAACCGGAAGCTCTCCGAATCCAGTTGATCCATCATTAGCTCCATCTCCAGCCCCTGCTCCTTGTCCCAGAGGATGCGGGGGGCGGGGGGTGGCAGGGCTGAAAGTTCCAAGCTCCTAATCATGACTTGAACTTTCTGGTAACCAGCGCCAAATCCTGAAGCCATCAGGAGCCCACTCAGACTCACAGAATTAGAACAAAAGTTTCTCCTTTGACCCAGGAAATTCCAGGGGATTTAGAAGCTCTGTGTCAGGACCCTGGTTCAAATACCAAATATTGGAACAGAAAATGTTCCTAGTGCTCAAATCACTTAGGAAATTCCAGGGGATTTAGGGGCTCTATGCCAGGAACCCAGGGCAGAGACCAATGCATTTTTTTTTTTCTGTAATTTCACAGATGTGAACCAGGGAGCCCAGCTCTATCACAGACCTCCTGGTCTAAGTGCTTCCAAAACTCCCCACTGATTATGTAACAAACTGCTACTTGTTCCCTCTGGCAGGTCGGAGGGTCTGAAATTCAGTGAAAACTTACCATCATCATTTTGTTACTCTGCCTACTTGTGTCTTCTAATTTATCTACAATGAGCATACACCATGGGCATAATGAAGAGCTCTGTAAAAAGAAGAGTTTTCCCTAAATCCAGAACCAGCAGCAGTGAGACCAGTGGGGGTGCTGGGGTGCAGGGATGGGTGGGAGTCACCCTGAGACTTCCCAGACCCCACCTCTGTTTTTTGTTGTTGTTGTTGGAGGTGGGGGTAATTAGGTTTATTTGTTTATTTTAATGGAGGTACTGGGGACTGAACCAAGGACTTTATGCATGCTAGGCATGTGCTCTGCCGGTGAGCTTTATCCTTCCTCGGACACACACACACTTCTGTCTCCAGTGGGCCACAGCTGTCAGGCAGTGAGGCTGGCAAGGCTGCTGAGTGTCCAGCCCAGCATGGGCACTTGGGACCAGGCACAGGTATCTGAAATCCCCAGAAGAAGCAAAGATTCACTTTGGGGGATGTGGCATCTCAAGAGAGGGTAGGGCAAAGTGGTCCCCACCGCATCACATCTGATCTTTCATCAAACCTGGAGGGGGTGGGGTCACTCTCCCTGGGTGCTTCTCCCCTTCCCCTCACCCCTCGGTCACTCCCACATCCATACGGCCTTGTTCGTGGCCCTGGTTTCAGGAATGTGTGACCAGCTGTCCACAGGGCAGGACCCCCACACTGGTCCACCCAGGCTCCTGCTGTAACTACTCTCCCATGGACCCCACTTGGATCCCCAGCAATCAGTTCCTAACCAGTAGCCTCACTGGCTCCTCCCTCGTCATCCACCAGGTCCCAGGTCTTGTAGGTCCAGCCCTAGCATCATCCCCATTTGGCATCCCTGCATCCTACGGCCCCTCTGCCCTCCCCGCTCAGCTGCACGAAGCCCCACTGCCCACAACGTGCTTGTCTCCGGCTGCTCCTCTGCAACAGGATCTTCCTTCTTGGCACGTGCAATCCTCTTTCCCTGCAGTGACTTGCCTGGCTCATTCCACTTCCTCTTTCCTCCAGAAGTCCCCAAGTCCAGGGTGGGTCCCCTGCAGGTCCCCCAGCCCACTGGGCTGTAGCATCTGTCTCTTCTGCTGGAGAGAAAGCTCCCAGGGCACGGCCTCCCCCTGTGTGGACTCGGGGTGGCCATGCCCGCACAAGGAGTCAGTTTATGAATGCTTTCTCACTGGGCAAGTCGGCCTGGCACTACATGCATGCGTCTGATTCTTACTGCCATCAGCAAGGGCTTCTTCCCAAGAGATGCCCGTGGTGCGCCTGTGCAGCCTGGGGCTGGCCCGACCGAGCTCACATCCCCACAGGATACCCTAAGGGCCAGCTTTGGATGCTCATAGGATGGTGATCTCCCAGAATCCAGGTCTTTGGGGCTCTAGACTTTGAGTCTGACCCCTTCTCTCTTTGGGATGATGTTAGTACAAGGGACTATCAGAGGGTGATTTAAAAGGGGGTCAGGGTTCCAGCCCTAGGGTGGATAAAGGCTTGCGTGGTATGAACTGGAAGGGAGAACGCATTTCAAAGGCCCCCAGCACGGAACTAGGAGAGAAGAAAGAGGCATCAGCCTGGCAGGAGGTCACAAAGGGGGCTGTGGTGGCCCTGAGAAACCCCGGGAGGCCGGTGAGAGTGCCAGGTGCAGGAAGGAGCAGCTGCCTGGGACTGAGAAAGTGGAAAAATGAGTGTGAACAACTTCTTGGAGAAGCTTGGCTATTAAGAGGAGGATTGGGTTAGAGAGGGCAGGTGCAGGTTTCAGCGCTGGGAACTCTGGGCACCGCAGGGGCCTCGGGGACATCCTGTGCGTGCCTCTCAGACGGCAGGAGCTGTGGAGCTGGGAATGCAGCCCTGCTGGGGTCCCCGTCCTCCTGCAGAGCTGGTCACTGCTCGCTATTTTTGCTGGCTGGGCTTCTGGCTCAGGTCTGCAGACAAACATGCAAGAATGTGAATACCTGACACATGGACTGATTTATAAAATTGCTGATACCACAATGTGTTTTTAATTCTTATACTTCCCTGGCATGTCAGCTCTTACACCTTCCTCTGCCCAATACCAGGGTTTTCGTTGTTTTCACACCTTCCTAAGATCTTAGTGATCTTACGAGATGCGAGAATAATATCCTCTGTAGCAGACTATTATTCCTCAGTATCTAGTATCTCATTCTGCTTTAGTAATGGAACTCCTGACATTTAGCAGATGCAAGGCTGTCAGGAAAAACGCTATACTTCTCTGCTTCCCTACAGCTGGGTGTGACCCGTGACTGAGTTCCGGCCAAGGCCAACGGAATGAACTTGGAGCTTTGTGTGAGCTTCTAGAAAGAAAAGAAAAAGACTGAGCTGGGATGATGCAATAATGGCTGGATCTCAAGCAGCTGTTTTGCATCATGAGCTGGAAGGCAGATGTTGAGAACGGAGAAGCAACAAAATAAAAGGAAGGAGACCCCGGGCCGGTCTTCATCTTGAAGCTCACAGACAGGACCAGCCTCAATTCCTGAGATCCACTTGGTGCTCACCGTCTGCCATGCTCCTCACCAATACTAGTGCCATGCTTTTTCCTCTATTCAGTTCCAACTAGTTCCCGGACTGTTGTCTGTCTCACAAGACCCTGTTAAGGTATTATCCTGCATTTAGCCATTTAACCAATATTTACTCAGGACTTCTGTGTGCCAAGGGGGATGTGGTAGTAAATATCACAGCCCCCAATCCTTGGTCTTGTGAAGCAGGCATTGCTGGTGGGGAGACAGATGATAAACACCTGAAATAAGTGTTAGTGATTGCTGAGTAACCAACCACCCAGCTCAGCAGATTACAACAATCACATTTATTAGCTCACCCGCCTGCCAGCTGTCGGACAGCTCTGCCCATCCGAGCCTGGCTTGGCCGGGCTCGCTGGTTTCCCTCGTGCATGCCGCTGGCCGGGATGTCCCGTGTTGCCTGACCTCGGCTCTGTCCTCCTCTGGTCTTGTCCTCCCGTAGGCTAGCCCGAGTGTGCTCTCACATTTCTGGAAGACTGGGGGGAAGAGGAGTGGGGATGCTGCAAGCGTTATTTCAAGCCTCTCCTTGGACCCCACCTGTCCGTGTCTGACTGGCTAAAGCAATCCCATGGCCAAGCCTGTAGTCAGAGTGGGAGGGGCTTACACGGTCACAGAGCACAGGGCGAAGGGCATGGGCACAGGAAGGCCACTTCATTGTAGCCATTAATGCCGTCAGTATAGCCCAATGGGTCCATATGTCAAAAGCAAAGTAGGGGAGTGGGATGGGTTGTTCTGGCAGACATAGGGAAGGGCTGCCCTAAATCAGGAACGTGTTGTATTAGTCTGGGTGGACAGCGAAGGTTGGGGTACACAGGAGCACCGAGGCCCTCTCTCCTACCAGGCACCTATGGGGTGGCCCCCTGGGGATCAGCTGCTTTAGCAGCTGCATTGATCAGGGTTCCCCAGCAAAGCAGAACATATCCACATAGAGAGGGATTTATTACGGATTGGCCCATGTGATGATGGAAGCTGAGAAGTCCTGCCATCTGCCTTCTGCAAGCTGGAGGCCCAGGAGAACTGTTGGTCAGTTCAGTCCAAACCTAAAGGCCTGAGAACCAGGAGTGCTGGTGTCTGAGGGTGGGAGATGGACATCCCAACTCAAGCAGAGATTGGGGTCACCCTCCCTGGGGAGGCCCGTTGGCTTTTCTCAGTCCACTGATTCAGACCAGTGATTCTCTTTTGGGAACGCCCTCACAGACACACCCAGAAATAATTTTTCACCAGCTATCTGGGCATCCCTTAACCCAGTTAGAGGGCTCACAAAATTAGCTATCCCAGTGGGTTTCTGTTCTTTGTAGTCAAGTGATCCTTAATGACAGTATTCCTGGTACCACCTCCACCAGGAGGGTTTTAGTCTTTGAGAATTTTTTTTTAAACTGAAGTATAGTCAGTTACAGTGTGTCAATTTCTGGTGTACAGCATAATGTTTCAGTCATGCATGTACATACACATATTTGTTTTCACATGCTTTTTCATTATAGGTTAATCTTCGTGAATTTGATATTGGAAGAGTAGTACTCAGTGTATTTTAATTTGCATTTGCATAATTTTTAGTAAGGTCACCATTTTTGCATATGTTTATTGGCCACTTAACATTTCTTCTTTTGTGAATTGCCTGACTATGTCTCGTGGCTCACTTTAAAAAGTGGAAACAAGGTCAAATGCCCTTTAAAAATGTAAAGAACTTAATTTAATAGTTTCCCTTTATTGAGAAATTACTATTTTTCAGGCACAGTTTTCTAGATTTATCTCAATAAATCCTTGTACTCTTTCCATGAGAGAGTGATGGTGTCATTATGAACCCATTGTACAGAGGAGAGAAACTGAGGTTCAGAGAGAGGATTTGAGGCCACAGCCAGCTCCTAACATGTTTGCTTTCTGACCTAGGTATGCAGATCTGTTTCCAGTGTTTTGTTTGCTTTTTAATTTCACTTTCAGGATATTTTGAACAGAAAGCTAGAGCTTTTGTGCGACCAAAATTCTCCATCCTTCTGCAGTTTCTGCCCGAAAGACTTCCCCCATGAAGATAATAAGCCCAGATTCTTCAGGTGGGTATAGCTCAGTGGTAGCGCGCATGCCTAGTGCACACAATGTTCAATCTCTAAGTACCTCCGTTAAAACAAATAAATAAACCTACTTACATACCCCCCCCAAATAAGCACAGATTCCTATTCCTACGTTTTCTTTTACTATTTCGATGGTTTCTCTGTTAACATCTACATCTTTAATCCATCGGGAGTCAATTTAGATGAAGGTGGGAGGAACACTCAACATTCCTTTTCCACTAGAGCCTGTTTGGAATCGAACAACCCTTCTTCTAACACTGGCTGATTGTCACATGACGCTGCCACACACCCTTGCCCTCATCCCTGTCTGCGGGCTGCAGAATTACTCAGACGCTGGAAGCCCGCCTCCCGCCCCCTCAGCCCATCAGCCCCCCTGTGGCTGCAGTGACCACCCCCCTCAGTCTCCCCAGGGGCTGGGTCCTGCGGTGAGTGGAAGGAATTCGGGTGAACTCTGCTCACTCAGCAGTCCAGGCCTGGGGGAGTTGGGCGGGGGCACCGGACTGTGGAAAATCACATGTGGTTTTCAAGTTGTCAGAAACCAAGAAAATCATTCTGCCAGTTGAGCAGATGGCTAGACGCTGTCTGGGAGACCCCAGGTCCCGTGGCTCTGGGAGCCGCCCACCTTGTGAGCTGAGCAGCCTTATCCCCGGGTAACATCCAGACTGCAGGCAGGAGAGGGCCTCTCCTGAGAAGGAGGAGTGGAGGGACGGGATGGACCTGGGTCCTTCTTCTTTGGTCCCTGGAGGCAGACTCAGGACTCCAGGAGACTGGGAGGGTCTCTTCCAAGCCTCCCGGGTTCTGCTGCTCCAGTCCCAGTGCTCTGTGGCTGCCCCAGTTAGAACTGGGACATGCTGGCTGAGACACCAGGGTGGCTCCTGGTAATGCCCAGGCCTCAGCAGGAGGAGCTGGTGCCCCCATGGCCTGATACCAGAGGCTGTGTAACAGGGATGGGAAGAGCATTCAGTCTGGCCACACAGACATGCCATCACTGACATGCTGTGACCTGGGCATGTCACTTCTCCCTGGGCCTCAGATTCCTCCCTGGAAAATGGGGAAAGATGGTGCCTGCACTCAACAAGCATTAATCACCATCACTGCCCAGCCTACTGCCCACATGCCGGGACCTGAGTCAAGGGCAACTGACATGAGGACACTTAGCCTGGGGGGGCAGAGTCTCCCTCCTGGGACCCCCTCTTTCCCTTTCTCCCATAGGGCAGGACTCTACTTCCTGGTGGGAGGCCATTGCCCTCCCTTGTGCCCTCTGCTCCAGGGCGTCCAGTTGCTAACTTCCTGTTTGCCCTGGCCTGAATGTCTTCGGAGGAAGGCCACCCCAGGAAGGCCTGGACCTTGTTGAAAGCTCCATGGAGACCTGCCAGTGAGCAAACGAGCTGCAGAGTCACAAACTCACAGATGTGTGTACACGAGGGGGACCCAGGAGGTGAGGGGACTGAAGCTGTGGCAGGGTGGGGACTGGGAGGTGGAGAGCGATGACATCACGGACTTTTGGGACTCAGGGACCTGGGATGAGACAGCCTCTTGCTGACATGGCAGGCAGTCCTGGCAGGACAGCTGGGGACATCTTTTTAGGCACTTGGGAAGCTGAGATGTGATGCCCCTGGGTGCAGAGATTTGGCTGAAACCTTTAGAAGGATGAGTTCCCTGTGAAGCCCAGAGCGTGGCTCTTCCCTTTCGGGGCTGTATTTAAGGAGAGGCCACCTAGGATTCGGGGCATCCTCCCCGAGGGACCCCTGCATCCCCTGGACGTGCAGATCGAGTGCTTGGATGGGGCCTGTTCATCTCTGTCTCTCCATCTCATGGGGAGATGTGGTAATTACATTTGTAGGACCGGAACCCTGAGGTCTGGAGAGGGAAGGGGGCCACAGTCACCTGGGGACCACCCAGGGATGGGACTGACCCTCATATCTCCCAAGGCTCTGGCCAGAGTTGCCCGGAGACCCAAATTGTCAGATTTGCAAAGACAGAAAGTAACCTTGCCTGACTGGACTGGCCGAATGAGAGGGGCTCCCCTATCAGGGGAGCCACCAGTAGTCCTAGAGCCACCCCCTACCCCCCACCACTTACAGCCTGAGAAAACCAAGTTATTTAAGGTCACAGTTTTAAATGTCTTCCCTCCCCCTCCTGTGGGACTGACCCCTCTACAGTGGGAAGAGGGTGGGTTCCATTCCTTCCCATTTCTGCTCCACCTGCTCACCCCCGTCCCAATATGGGAGCTTCTGGCCCCCCACCCCGCTGCGCCAGGGCATTATTGGAAGGAGCAAAGTGGCTTTGGTGCCCCCATGTGATAGCTTTGCCTACCTGTCCCCTCACCCCCACGTCACCCTTCACTGCACCTATTCCTGCCAGATGGGCCTCATTGCAACCCCTGCTTCTGTCCCCAAGTGGGGGCAACCCCTCCAGCTCTCTCTCCTGGGGACCGCCCACCCTGGCAGGCTGCCCTCCTGGCATGATTCTTTCTCAACGGCCCTCAGAGATGAGCTCTTGGCCATTAAGCTAAACAGCACTCACCCCAGTCCAATCAGGGGTCAGGGTGCAGGCCACACCCCCTTCTCGCCATGCCACGCCCCCTTCTCGCCATGCCACGCCCCCTTCCCGCCCGTCAGTGGGCTCCACCAGCCTGACCCTGACAAGGCTGCAGGAGAGCCCCATGCACCCTCTTCAGCCCAAGTCATCTCCCCCAGGGACTCCCCTTCCCCACTCCGGAAGCAGCGAGGGGAGGTAGGTCCACCAGGGTGAGATGCTGCCTTGCCTCTGCTTGTCAAGCCCAGTCCCGCTATGGCTTGGAGGGCAGACCTCACTGCGAGGGCCTGGGCCGGAAAGGCCCAGCCTTTTCTTAAGAAGCTGGAGGTGGGGGTTAGAGGTGGGGTGAGGAGCCCCAGGTTGTCCCGCAGACTCCCAACTAGCTCAGGAGAGCCCTGCGACATGGATCCAGATGCCCCACCGGCTGGCAGAGGACACTGGACTCTGGAAGGGTGAGTGGTAGCCCAAAAGACCACAAGCCTCCCACCCTTTGGCCTGCCTCTTCCTGGCCTGGGCTGCCACCCGTGGGGAGTTTGGTTTAGAGGACAGGGGTCCTCAGCACATGGGAGTCCCCTGATGGGCCCAGGTCTGCCGGACTTCCTGGGTGCAGATCAGAAAGCTGAGAGGAGTCCCAGCCTTGCCCTCTGTGGGGAGATACTAGCCCAGCACAGAGAGCAGTACCCCACTGCTCCGCCTGCCCACACCCTCAGGGGGAGGGGGAGAGGCGGGGAGGGCCCCCCACTCCCTGCCTACTCCACCCCCGGGGCCCAGCTCCCCACAAGGCCTCTGCTCATGTTCTTGTTGGTGACTCACTGTGGCTGAGGAAAAGGTTCTTTCTATTTCTTTTCAATTTTTTCATGGCTTCTATTTTCCCTGGCAGAGAACGTCGAACCCAAATCTGATCCATGTGTGAGCCAGCTGAACTCGGGAGCTGTTCCCAGGGAAGTGACGCGCCACAGCCGCCCACCACACCCCCCATCACCACCCCAGCCTTGGGCCTCCCTTTTTGACACATTCAGCTGGGGGCAACAGAGCAAATTCCAAGACGAAATTTCGAGAACAATGATTCACAGGCCCGCCGAGGACATTTATGGGTAAGAGCTTGCTTCATCCTACTGCTGCCAGGACCAACCCTGGGGACACATGGCAGGGTGAGGACAGCACAGAGACAAGGAGGCCTGACGGGGGGGGGGATGGGGGGGATGCACCAAAAGCCTAGGTGGGTGGACTTGGTCTCCTAAGGGAAGTGACAAGAGCTGGGAGCTGGGCTGTGAGTGCTGACATGCTCGGCCCAGCACGTGCACAGTCCCTGTTCGGTCTGCACAGTGAGGACACGGGGAACCATGAGGTTCCTTGCTGTGATCAGATGGATGGCCAGGAGGGAGGAGATGGGATTTGACTCTGGGGACCAGCTATTGACACAGTCCCATTGCCTTTTTAAGTATGAACAAGTGAGCCAGTGAAAAGCAAAGGAAGGGTTTTGAAAGGAAGAGGTGAGGGGAGGCAGAGGCCCCCAGGGCCCTGTCCCCCAACCAGAGCTAAGCCAGCTGCCCCCACAGCTCTCCCTGCCTGCCATCTGTGCAGCATCCCAGGGGCTCCTGGGTTTTCTCAACCAGGCCAAATCCTTGCAGACGACGGTGTCTCAGGGTTGACGGCTGCTAAATTTGACCCATGGGCTCAGGTGTGCTTTTTCTTGCTTCTTCATTCCTTCAAGGAGCAATGTTCTGGGAGCTCTGGCCTTGGGTGTCATGCCCATTTGGGGCAGCCAACATTTGCCCTTCAAGAAGCCTTAGGGAAATATCAGGCACACATATCATAACTCCTTATGCCAGCACCCATGACAGACATTACTAATCGATCATGGAATTCTCTGACTCCCCTATCTCCCTGGGGTCCACGTGGTAGCTGGAGCCTTTGTAAATACAGTTTTAAAAAACTGGATTCTGGTAAGAGGAAGGAGAGGAATGGCTGTTTGTCCTTGTTGGGATCTCAGCTGGTGGGAGAGCAGCGTATCCGTAGAGGTGAAGCCATGTTCATTGTGGGAAATAGTAAAAGAAATTCTAGGGAAGGGAGCCTGACCCCAAATATCTATGGCTCCTATTT